TTGCCTCATGTGGCTCTTTAAGTTTAAGTTAAAATTAAGTAAAATTAAGAATGTACCCCCTCGGTTCCATAAGCCCCATCTCAAGTCACATGTGAGCAGCAGCCGCCCTGCCGGATGGTCGCACACGGGAAGTCCCACGGGCAGTAAGTGCTGCTCTGGGGAAGGCCGGGCAGTTCCGGCCAGTGGGACCTGAGAGAAGCCGGCCGGGCTGCCCGGGAAGGGTGTCCCCGCTCATCCAAGGAGGCGCAGAGAGAGGGCTCTGTTCTGCAGGGCCACAGCCACCGTCTCTGGCCAGGACGGGAGCGATTCCAGGCAGAGCAGAGGCGCTGCCCGGCCCGTTACCACAAACCGGGTGGCTCAAAACGGCAGAAAAGAGTCCTCTCGCAGGACTGGCGGCCAGAAGTCCAAGATGGAGGTGTGGGCAGGGCGACGCTCTGTCCGGAGGCTCCAGGGGCGGGTCCCTCCTTCCCCTCCCAGGTGCTGGCGGTGGCTGGCAGCCCTCAGCGGGCGCGTGGCTGCACCACTCCGATCTCTGCCTGCGTTGTCACACGGCCTTCTTACGAGGACACCCGTCCCTGGCTCAGGGCCCACCTACTCCAGGATGACCTCGTCTCAACCAGTGCATCCACAGAGACCCCATTTCCAAGTCAGGTCTCATCCGAGGCTCTGGGCGGCATGAATGAGGGGACCCTGCTCACCCTAGGACAGACGGCAACCACCTGGATCTGGGAGGTCACCGAGCCGCTGACCTGGGGGGTTTTCTCCCAAGAGACAGTCAAGTCCCTTCAGCTCCGAGCTGCTCCGAGCCAGGTGTGGGGTGACCCACAGCCGAAGGCGCCACACGGGCCATGACCTTTGCACTTGCGGCCCCCTGCCTGGAACTCTTCCTCCGATCGGTTCACGTCTGTGGCTTCCGCAGCTTCGGGCTCAGTGGAAACGTCACCTCCTGAGATGCCTCCCCTGAGCACTCCAGTCTCCTGCCCTGCCATCGCACAGGGTGACCTTAGCAGAGCCCCATGGGCCCTGCTGTCCCCGTTTGTTCTCTTACTGATTCCCTGCCTGTCTCTCCCGCTGGAATCTGATCCCCTTGAGAGCAGGCACCAGATCCTTCTCCCCTTCTACCCGTGGTCTGTACCCGACAGGCATGGGCCTACACAGATGAAAACATCGGGACGGGACAAAGGAGCAAGCCAACGGCGCCACCAGGAAACACAGAGACGCGGAATGTGGGGCACCTGGACCTTTTCAAGTCTACACAGACCCGGGCAATCGAGGCAGGCTCTGACTCAGCAGGTCCGGGTGCGGCCTGAGGCTCTGCACATCCAACAGTATTCCAGATGGTTCCATGCTCCGGCCCGGGGTCTGCAGCCAGCTTCTTTCTGGTGGCCCGTGGCAGTCTGGGCTGTTCCTTGGCGTGTGGCTGCAGCATCCCAGTCTCTGCCTCTGCCTTCTCACGGCCACCTCCTCTGTGCGTCTGTGTCCCAATGTCCCTCTTCTTACAAAGACACCGATCATTACATTAGGACCCTCCCCAGTCCAACAAGACCTCACCCTGACTTGATTACATCCGCAATGACACTATTTCCAAATAAGGTCACCTTCATGGATTTTGGAGGGACTCTCCTCAACCCAGCGTAGTGGGAGGGGACAAGTGGTGCTGGGGGACTGTTCTGGAAAACGCAAAGACAGAACAACCAAAGCAAACGCGTGAAACTTTCATGGCCCTGGTCCCAGAGCGCCAGCTGGGGAGACGCGAATACTGCCCGGTGTGGAACGGGCATGTTGAGATCGCGGGTCGTTTCCGAGTGCAACAGTGAACTGCAGTTGTAGGGAAACAGCTCTCGGGACGGCCAGAGGGAGTACTGAACCGTGAGCCTCGTACACCTGCAGTTTCCATTCAAATGGTTTACCAAAAACCGTTTATAGGGACACAGACGTCGAGCACAGGTGAATGTTCACCGACCGGTGGAGGAACCCGGGCGATCCACTCGCCCAGCTTTTCCGTATGCTTGAAAAGGTTCATAATGAAAACCCGGGATAAATAAACAAAGGCCCGTTTCTTTAACCACATTCAAAGCCCCTGTAGTCCCACGCCCGCCATCGCGGGGTCTGTCTGGGCGCGACCCCTTTCTAAACGCCCCTTCCGGTGCCCACGGCTCAGGCCAAGGTCCCGGCAGGTCCCCATTCTGTCGTCTGTGATGGAGCTTTTCCCGGGGACTGCGGGGGCAGACGCCCCTTCCCCGTCCTCGCTCCGGGACTCTAGCGCCCAACCGGGATGGGGGGGCAGGGGCGCTCGACCTGCGCATGCGTGTCGCTGTCCCACCTGCCGCCCTCTCCCCGCCCCTCCCCACGTGACGCCGTGGGAACCCGGACCCCAGCGCCTCCAGGGAGGGGGCGGCCGCGGAGCGCACAGTGGAGATGGGGGCTCGGGGTGGTGGGGACCGGAGGGAAGCTGGAGAGGGGACTCCTGGCTCTCGGAATCCCAGAGAAAAAGTGGGGGGGGAGGATCCCCGGTCCCCGAGAGTGGGGAGGACAGGACGCGCGGGTCCCGGCCGGTGCACTCACCCGCACGATGTAGGAGACCCCGGGCCCCAGGACCCGAGCGTCGGGGTGCAGCCAGCCATGTGCCGGCTTGTGGATGAAGCTGCCCTTGCGGATCCACTCGGCGGCCGCGGCGTCTGGGGGCGCGGCCGCCCCCCGCGCGCCCCGTGGCCCCCGCGCCCCCGCGGCCCGACAGCGGCTGAGCGCCGGGAGGGGACAGGGCGCGGCACAACGCGGCTCGCAGGCGCCCAGGACGGCGGCCGCCAGCGCCGGGACGCCCGCCGGGCCTGCGGGCTCCGGCTGGGGGTCGGCGACCCCCGCAGCTTCAGCCGCCCGCGCCGCCGCCGGGCCGCGGCCCAGGAAGCTGCCCGGGGCCGCGAACTTCCACTGCGGCATGCGCGGCAGCAGCGCGCAGAAGGTGGTGGGCGCCTCGGGCTCGGGGGGCGCTGGGGGCGCACGCCCGCCGGGACCCTGCGTCATGGCCGCGGCCGCCCGACCCAGCCCGACCGGACGCTGCGCCTGGCGCGGAGGAGGCCCTCCCGCTCCCTCCCGCTCCTCCCCGCCCCCGGTCCGGTGATGTCATCCGCCCGGCCCAGCGCGCAGCCGCGGGGGGCTGCGCCCCTGGGACCCCGGCCCTCCTTGTCTCGGCGTCTGCCCGGGAGGCTGGGGAAACTGAGGCCCTCCGAGGGCATCAGGCGCAGGCCCGGAACCGGCATCCAAGGAGGGAGCGAGGTTTCGAACTCAGGACCCCGTCAGCGACGGTCCTTACTTCGCGCCCCTCCGCCCCCGCCCGCCGCCCGAGTTCCTAGAAGGGCAGGGCTGGGCGAGGCTTGGAAATCGTCTGTTCCTTCCCCGTGACTGATGGGGAACCCGAGGCGGGGAGGGGCGGAGGCGCGGCCAGGGAAGGAGAGAACCCCAAACCTTAATCTCAGCCCCTTTCTCTCCACTGGTCCCGCCGGAAGGGTCCTCGAGATCAACCTTACTTTATTTCTTAATGGGGAAACTGAGGCCTGGGGAGAGGAAGGGGCGTGCTGAGGGCGCACAGAGGAGGCTCAGAGACAGGAGTACCGGGTCTGTTGCTTGTCCTGGGCCCCAGCTCCTCAGGCTGTAGCCCGAGGGAGTGGGCCAGAGGGTCACGGACCCCCCTCTTTCATTTCTGGGGACCCCTCTCCGACATTAGCTCAGCGGGCCTTTGGGCCCGGTTGTCCGTTGTCTTCAGTCTCATCGTCTCTGAGACTGGCCTCCCCGCCCGCCCGGGCCTCAAGGGTTGGGTCCTTCTGAGCCGGGAAACGGGGTGTCACGGTCACCCCGACCCAGCCTCCTGGCTTCCGTCTTGGCCAGGTCCCCCCTCCCAGGCCTTGTGCGCCCCAGCAGGGCTGACTGCCGAGAAACAAAGGGAGGGGCCGGGAGGCCTGGCAGGTGGGGAGGGAGGGGCAAGGCTGCTGGAGCCCGATCGATAAATCAGAGAAATGAGATCACTGGCTGGCGCTGCCGCAGGGTGGGGGCGGGAGGGGGCGCGCCCGCGATTGGCCGGCGAGGATGCAGCGGCGAGTGTCAGGCGGCGATGGCTATTGTGTGAACCGAGAGGAGCGGTGGAGGGCGTGACCCCGTGCGTGGACCTGGGTGTGACATTCATCTGGTCAGGAGCTGCATCTGCACTTGGGTGTGTGGTCTCCACCGCAGGCTGTGCCCGTGTGGACCGTGTGAGGTTTGGGTCTTGTGCCTAGTATGTGCGGGTCTGCGTGCAGGCCCAGGTATATGGGGGGGGGGTGCAGGTGCACGTCCAGGTGTGTGTGGAGGGTCCAGGTTCATGTCCACCTGGCCAGGGAAAGGGGAGTATGTTCAGGTTTGGCAGCCCCAGGCAGAGGCAATGGGGTGAGGACAGAGCTGAGCCCACCGCCCCCCGTGTGGCCCACCAGTGCCTCCTCCGTGGAGGCCCTGTGGCAGCTTCTGTCCCTCCCGAGTTCCTGGATTAGGGTCTCTCTGGACATGTAGGGTGTAGGCGTAGGTGCCATCCACTGGTCCCATGGCATTATCAGTATGTTTCCTTCCTGTCCCCAGGAAAAAGTGACAGGAACAGAGCCCAATGGCCAGGGATCAAATCCTGGCATCAGACTGGCATGGGGGCCCATAGCATGCCCTGGGAGCTCCGTTTTCTTCCACCAATATCACCTGCCTCCTGAGTTCCTATGAAGCTTAGATGATCTTTATCAATATCTGGAACGTGGTAGGCACCTACTTATTACAGATATCAGAACACACCAAACTCTTATACATCCTTCAAAACCCAGCTTCAACATTCCCTTTTCCAGGAAGCCTATCTGGCTACCCAGACTCAAAACCCTGGCTCCACCTCTGGCCTCCCCCCAGGGGCTGGAGTGCTGCGGGTCTGGCTCTGGAGGGCAGCGTTCAGGTCTCTTCTGCACCTTGAAGAGACACATGAAGTGAGCGGGCATGTGTGATGCTGACAGCTCTAGGCCAAGGAGAGGTTTATTGGCAAGCGACTCCAGGGTGTAAGTTTGGAGAGCAGGGGCTTCGGGGCTGCTGCCAGCCTGAGTTCGCGCTGGGACCAGTCCCGGCAGCCACACTTCCATGAGAAACAGGGAAGACCCAAGTGTGGCAGAAACCCGAGCTGTGATGAGGACCCAGGCCCTGGTGGGGCTGGACGCGGAGTTCTAGGACACAGGAAGCTCCGTCTCTGGCCAGCTACTGGGGAGGGCTGGAAGGTGTCCCTTTCCCTGCCTGGCCTGGCATGACCGGGAGAGAAGAAACTGGGGCACTGGAAGGAGACTCACCCTGCACCCTGCACAGGGCCACGGGTCACAGCCCCTAGGGACAGGAGGAACCAGGTGACCCAGAAGGACCTGCGACCATTCAGAAAAGGAGAAGGAAGAAAGCTCCTTTCTCCAGCGCCCTCCTGGCTCCTCTGAGCCCCTCCAGCCAAAGCCAGGCCCCAGGAGGGCCCTGCCCACACCCCCTTCACAGCTAGGGAAACTGAGGCTTGGCCCAGGAGGAGCAGCCGGCAGCCTGGGCCCCGCAGGCCATCAGGGAGTGGTGGCGGCAGCCACGGTTAGAGGCCCGTTTGCAGTGGCGGATGCCCATGGTGTACGCTGGCGCCCTGGCTTTGTTCACGGTGACCTGCTCCGGGCTGTGGGTGCCGGGGCCGGGCGTCTCCTGCAGGGGCCGCGGGGCGCGAGGCCGGCCCAGCATGGTGAAGGCGGGCTGGCGCTGGCGGTAGGTGTCCGGGTCCGGGCTGTCGTACTGGCCCGGGCCTGGTATCTCCGCAGGATCCTGCGGGGGGCGGACGGGGGGCGTGCGGCCCACCACGGTGTAGCTGGGGCTGCTGGGCTTGGTGAAGATCTGCGAGCCCCAGAGGGGGGGCATGGTGTAGGCGTTGGGGGCAGGGACCGAGGTGTCCAGCGGCTTCGGGCGGAGGCGGGAGCCCAGGGTGAAAGCTGGGGCGGTCTGGTGACGCAAAGGGGGCACCTTCTCTGGGCTGTAGGCTCCGGGGCCTGGTGTCACCTCCAGACCTGAGAGAGAGGGGAAGGAAGGTCCTCACCTGCTCAAAGGCCTGGCATGGCTCCCTCTCGCCCACGTGCATCCTGGAGCTCCTGACACTTCTCGGCAGCCCTGGGGCCTTCCTCTCCCTCCCCGTCCTCCGTGCCCAGACGTTCCCAGCCTCCACTGTGCCCAGGCTCAACCCTCGGCCTTCCGCTCCCCATCCCATGCCTTCCCCACGCTGTCTTCCAGGCAAAGCCCTTGCCGGGATACCCCTGCCCTAGGTCGTCCTGTCTCCAGACATGGCCACGCTGAGGCTGGGTGGTCCACACCTGGGCCTCACTCCACCACCAGCTCTCATAAAATACAAAGATCAAATCCACCCCAGCTCCCCAGCAGGCGACTTAACTAACACGTTTGTCTGAGCAGACGTGTGAACAGGATGGGTGAGCGAGTGAGGAGTGTACGAAAGGGTAGATGAAAGGATCCGTGAATGTACAGACAGATGGGTGGGTGGACGGATCAATCGATGGGCAGAAGGAAGGAAGGATTCATCGATGGATGGATGGAGGATAGGTGGATGGATAGGTGGATGGATGGATGGATGGTGGATGGGTGGGTGGGGGGATGGATGGAGGATAGGTGGATGGATGGATAGGTGGTGGATAGGTGGATGGATGGATGGATGGATGGATGGATGGATGGATGGGTGGGTGGATGGATGGATGGATGAAATGATTACGGACAGATTCATGGATGGGCCTACTGGTGGCCTACTGGGTACAGTGGATGAGTTGAAGGAAGGATAGGTGGATGGATAAATGGAATGGTAAGTGATAAATCAATGGATCGATGCATGAACTGGATGAAGGACGGGTGGACGGGTGGACAGGTTGTGAGCAGGGAGATGGGCAAGTGGATGAACGGATGGCCAGTGCGTAGACGAGTAGATGGGCAGCAGGTCACAGGGCCCGGGTGGGTGGACGGGAGATGGGAATCAGTGGCGGGTCAGCGCTGTGGTGTGAGTGAACTGGTGGGAAGCTGGAAGGGGATGGCTGAGGTTTGCCAAAGTCCCCACCGCACCCTCTCTTCTCCTGACACCGAGGCCGGCTGCCCTTGTGGCGCCACACGTGCACGGGGTCATCGTGATCCTGGCCCACTTCACTCCTCCGGGTTCCCCGGGCCCCGTGGGCTCTGGAGTTGTGGCCGCTCCTCTGAGTCGTTCGGATTTATCATTCCAGAGGACGAGAGGGAAAGGGAGGACAGGGTGGAGGGGCTGCCGAGACCCCGAAAGGCAGGTCCTCGTGTGTCTGCACAGCTCGGATACTCACCCCGACACTTGCCCCGGCCCTGGATGGAGTAGGCAGGGGTGCAGCTGCGGCCAAAGCGGGTGACCTTCGGGTCCAAGAAGTAGACTGGCCCTGGGCTGGCATCCTGAGGAGGGCCTGGGAGAGGAGCCCCGAGTCCTGAGGGCATTTCTGAAGATGGAGCCTGCCCGGCCACCCACCTCTGCGCCCCTCCTACCCCTGAGGCGGTCCCCCCCCACGCCCCCCACCCAAACGCTGCCCCAGCCCCGCAGGTGGAGGCCGGTGGGCTGGGCCTCTGCATGGACTTTGTCCTGGACACCAAAGCAACTGCTTTGTGCAGCTGCTCTGCTGGGGGCCAGAGAACCAGCACCTGGGCTCTAAAGCAGGAGTAACTAGGCTCTGAGCTGGGGTCTGAGGGCCCTTCGGCGCGTGGGCTTGCTGGCACTCGACATGCTCAAGAGAGAGGCTCTACGCCCGACCCCCCTCCAACCCCAGACGGGCTCCTCAAGCGGGAGCCTGCGGCCTTGGGCCAGTTACTGAGCCCGTCTGAGCCTCCTTCTCCTCAACAGGGGGTTGAGAACATTCAAACCGGAGACGCGCCGTGGAATGGGCTGGTCCCAGTCACTGTGACCGCGGCTAGTGCTGTGGTCGCCCACACCGGGCACATGCGTGTGCATCCGTGCACGGTGGGTTTGGCAAGTATCGACTGGCTTACATACCACACTAAATGCACACACGAGCAAGCCACCGGTGAGGGATGACATGCCACCCAACCTTGATCCTGGCCTCAGTGTGTCCTCGCTGTGTGAGCACAGCCCCGGGCACGCCACAGCTCCTATTGCGCTGGTGCTGCGACCCCAACTGGCCGCCCCAATGGTGGTCTGCGACCTTAACAACACCCGAGCCCTCCTAGACAAATGGGGGAGGGGTCTATTTTAGCCCCTTCCCCAGCCCCAGGGCAGACATAATGACCCCCCCCATGGGAAGTGGCCGAGGAAACTCTTCCTCCCAGTCTCAGGGCAGCTTCGCCCCTACCTGGGCCACACTCGCAACCGACTTGCTTCTCACCGTAACCCAACCAGGGAGGCGCTGTTTTTGCCCCTGTTTCTCAGAAGTGGAAACAGGTTCCACAAGCTCACCCAGCAAGGACATGGCAATCGGGACTCTGCGTGCTTGAGCCCTGATTCTTAACCTCTGTCCTGCACCATGGAATGTTCCAGCCTTCTCTTCTGCCCACCCCAACCCCCCGCTCCACGCCCCACGACAAATGAACACATCCCAGCTCACGATGACATTTCCCACCTTGAGGCCTTAGCCTATGCAGCAGGCTCTACCTGCAGTTCTTTTCTTCTCCTGGGGGCTCTACCAAACTCCTACTCATCCTTCAAAACCCAGATTCCATGCTCCGCTTTCCAAGAAGTCTACCCTGGGCCCTCAGCAAAGCTTGTGCTATGCCCCCTCCACCCAACTCCCCAGGCTGTCTCTGTTCCTCTGTCCCAAGAAGTGTCCTGAGACTGGGATTTGAACCTGGGTACCCAGGTCTGCCTGGGCCACAGGGTAAGTTCTTAACCCCTTCCTGGTGGCAGAGGTGACGCTAATGCCTTCATCGCCTTCTGGCCCTTGCAGCCTCCAGAGTCTTGTTTCTGTCTGGTCTGGGGCTTTGCTGATTCTGAAGGCCGAGGAGAGGCTGTTGGCCCCCCTCCCCAGCCGGCCCCTCCCGAAGGGCTTCTGTCCACCACGGGACTGCTCAGCCGCAGCCCCACCACCCCAGGCCTTGGAGCAGCTCAGGGGCAGAGCCGTGGGATTTTCGAGCCCTGAGAGGAAAGGTATTTACCTTTCACTGGAGGCTCAGGGAAGCCCCCCCACATACACACCGCCTGCCCACCTGCCCACAGTCTTACCCTCACTGCGCCTCCGGGAAAGCGAGTAGGCAGGACTGGCCACCCTGGTGCAGTCGTGGTTGACGTAGCCCACGGTGGACGGCAGGACGTAGAAGCCTGGCCCGGAGTCTGCAACCCAGAGCCCTTGGGTCAGGGCCAGGGCCCCAGCACCCCGAGGGGTTGGGGGAAAGAGCCCTGGGCCCTAACCCTGAGCCTTGGCCCGGGCCCCCATGCTCTATCCATGGTGGGGTGGGGGTGGCAGGAGGCTGGGGCCCCAGAGGGCAAAGTGTGACACCCACATTGTGAGTCAAACTTGAATCACAGAGTGGGAGGGGGCTGGGCTACCTCCCACCTTGGAGCATAGATGGAAAGGAGGTCAAGCAGATATCCATGTCATAGATGGGGAAACTGAGGCCCAGATAGAGTCACATGTCACAGATGGGGAAACTGAGGCCCAGGCACAGAGTTACATGTCATAGATGGGGAAACTGAGGCCTAGGCACAGAGTTACATGTCACAGATGGGGAAACTGAGGCCCAGGCACAGAGATCCATGTCACAGATGGGGAAACTGAGGCACGGGGCAAGGCCCTGAGGCCCCACAGTTAACGTATGTCCCCAGCAGAACAGCTACACACACGCCCAGCCTCTCTGCAGCTTCACGTTTCCAAGGCACTCATCACTGAATATCACCCTGGAAACATTTCTCACTTGTTTTACTTCCCTGTCTCCCCGGGCCCCCAGCCCCGACCTTGGCTGCTCTGCTCACTCTCCTCAGCACCCAGAAAGGCACCCGGCCCTCAAAACACTCGGCCCTTGCTGAGTGGAAACCCTACGTCCACACCCATCCTACAGGACGGAAAACTGAGGTTTGGGGAAAGGCAAGGACTTGTCTGAAACTCCCGGCTCCTGCCGGGCTCCCAGAAGCCCCACGAGGGACAGTGGGGCAGGGCAGGGACCCACACCGTGGCCACCCGGCCCTACGGCTGGCACGCACCATTCTCCAGGGTGGTCGTCCCGCAGGACTTCCTCAGGCCAGTCTCCGGAATCTGGGCCTCCGTCACCCGCCGGCCCAGGGGCACTGTGGTCGGCCGTGGAGCAGGGTCGCAGCTGAGGGTCCCCATGGTGAGCAGGTGCGGCCGCAGGCGGTGTCCAGCCGCCCGGTGCGTCTCCCCTGCCGCGGCAGCTCTGGCGGCCACAGGCCCAGGCGCCGGCCCCAACCTTCGCGGCCGCTGCCCGTGTTGGCAGGGCCCCGGCCTCACCACACCCTCCCACGCCGCAGCCACACAGACGGCCCCTTGTCCCTCGGCAGGGAGTCTTGGGGCCTGGCCTGAGCCGGGCTGGTCGGCCGGACACTGGCCTGGAAGTAGGGCCGGGATCGAGTGTCGGCCAGGTGGCCGGGCGATCCAGGAAAGAATCCGGTGTCAGCAGAGCAGGTCCCCTGGGAACCAGAGCTGCAAACACGACACCCGCGGCCTCGCAGCAGGAGGGCCTGGAGGGGTCATGGGTGCATGGCCCCATTTCTACAGCTGGGGAAACTGAGGCACTGACCATGGTCTCACAGCAAGTTGGCAACCTTGGAAGTTGTACCCCTGGGCCAAGAGGCATTCATTCACTCATTCCATTATTCAGTCATCCAAAGAGCACTTATTAAGCACCCACCGGGTACCAGGCTCTGTTTGGGGTGGTGATGTTCTCAGGAGGGGAGAGAGAAAATAAACAATAAATGCAATATTACTGGATATTAGAAGGTGTCAAAGGTGACGAAAAATATAGAGTAGGTCAGGCTGCGAATTCTTATGAGCCACACGGAGAGAGTAAGACTTGTGCAAAGTTCTGAAGGAGGCGAGCAAGGACCCATGCAGACATCGAGAGAAGAACATTTCAGGACGAAGAATGGCCTGTGCAAGGGTCCTGGGGTAGAGGCAAGAACAGAGAGAAGATGAGGACAGTCCTCCAGAACACCACCCTACTGCCTCCCAGAAGCCTACAGAGATTTACACCATAAATGAATTTTTTCTGACTCCACTGAAGGCTACCATGATGTCAGGCTCCAAGAAGGCGCTCCGGGACACTTTGCTGAATGAAATTCAAATTCCTGTCTCTTCCATGGTATCCTTGTTTGTTTTTTGTATTGTTGGAACCTTTTACAATATAATTTTTAACAGCTTTATTGACATGTACTTCATACAATTCATCCTGCAATGTAATTTTGATGCATTGTGTAATTTTTTAAAACTTTTTTTGTTGTTTTGTTTTTGAGACAGAGTCTCACTCTGTTGCCCGGGCTAGAGTGTCATGGCATCAGCCCAGCTCGCAGCAACCTCAAACTCCTGGGTTCAAGCGATCCTCCTGCCTCAGCCTCCTGAGTAGCTGGGACTACAGGAATGCGCCACCATGCCCTGCTAATTTATATATATGTATTTTTTTTTATTATTATTTTTTTAGTTGGCCAATTAATTTCTATTTTTAGTAGAGATGGGGTCTCGCTCTTGCTCAGGCTGGTTTCAAACTACTGACCTTGTTTCAAAACTTTTGAATCAAAATGTTATAGTCCATGTGAAAGGTCATAAAACAAGCCTCAGTAAGTGTCAAAAATTTGAAACTTACCAAGTACATTATCTGACAACAAAGGAATAAAGTGAGAAATCAATAATAATAAGATATCCAAAATCCCTCCAAAAATATTTAGAAATTAAACAACACAATTCTGAATTAATCCATGCATCAAAGTAGTAATCACAAGGGAAATTAGAAAAGTTTCAAACCAAATGATAATGAGAGCCAGGCACAGTGGTTCATACCTGTAATTCCAGCACTCTGGGAGGCCAAGGCAGGAAGACTTGAGCTCAGGAGTTCAAGACCAGCCTGAGCCAGAGTGAGACCCTGCCTCTACTAAAAATAGAAAAATTAGCCCGGCTTGGTGGCACACCTGTAGTCCCAGCTACTTGGGAGGCTGAAGTAGGAGGATTGCTTGAACCCAGGAGTTGGAGGCTAAAGTGAGTTAGGCTGATGCCACAGCACTCTAGCCCAGGCAACAGACCGAGACTCTATCTCGAAAAAAAAACAAAAAAAAAAACCCCAAATGATGAAAACTCAATATACCAAAATGTATAGGGTGTAGCTAAAGCAGTGCTTACAGGGGAGATGATAGCTTTAAGTGTCTATATTAGAAAATAAAAAAGATCTTAACATCAATGACCTGATTTTCCACCTAAGAAGGTAGAAAAATAAGAGTAAGTAGAAGGAAGGAGAATCGTAAAGATAACAGTAGAAATCCATGAAATAGAAAACTCTAGAAATAGTGAACAAAGTCCCCCCCCTAAAAAAAAACCTAGTTCTTTAAAAGGTTGAAGATATTTGATAAATCTTTAGCTAGATTGATCAAGAAAAAACTGAGGACGAACACATGTCACAGCACCAGGAATAAAAGAGGGACATCACTACAGACCCCACACACATTAAAGGGATAAGATGGTCTGTGTGAAGCCACAAAAAGAAAAATTCCCATTTCTCTTGTACAAATGAGATATCTTTTTCTGAGGACTTACTATGTCCCACATACTGCATTTCAGTGCTCAACCACTTCCCATACATCATCTTGCTCAATTATCACAGTATCTCATTGAGGGAGATATAACTAGAAACCCTCATCTGTTATTCAAAAGAGGAAACTGAGGCTCAGAAAGGGAAGTGACATGCACAGGATCCCTTGGTAATTCATCAACAGAGCAAGGATTCCAGAACCCAGGACTCTCCGACTCAGATTTTTGATCAAAGCTTAGGGTTAAGTGCTTTTTTGCTTCAAATCCCAGCTCAGCTTTCTGGGAATGCTTAAAATCCTCTTGTAGATTCCTGTAGCCCTTGGTGTAAAATCCAAGCTTTCGCCATGGCACACGAGGCCCTGCAAGGCCTTGTCCCCACTTCCTCTCTGCCCGCCCCTCTGCTCCTCGGTCCCTGCCAACTCCGCTCAGCCCACACCAGCCTGCTTGCTGCTCCTGGAGGCCCCTAAGATGTTCCCCACCTGACGGCCTCCACCTGGGGTGCCTTTGCTGTCAGTCAACCCACGGCCAGCACCTTCCTCAGTCACCCGGGGACCCGGCTTGCAAGCCTCTCGCCGCCTGACACTGGGCAAGCCATTTGCTCATTTCCAGGGGAAGCACACGAGAGATGTGCGCAGAGGAGGGAGGCAGAGGGAGGGATCCAATACCTCCAACCTCTCTTTCTCGCTCTGCCAATCGGTGCCACCTATTGGCCAAAACCTGCCAGAAGTGCAGGAGCCCAGAGATACCACCGCTGAGGTCAGCCTCAGACACCCAGGACCAGGCAGACAGAGGGGACAAGTGTGTAGAAGATGTTCCCTGAACCCTGCCCCACCCCTTGCCGATGTCGCCAGGGCCGGGCCATATCAGATGACCACAGAGTGCAGACAGACACTGGTTCCAGCCAGGACTAGGCCCCAATTGACTCAGTTTCCCCTCTGTGACATAGGCTATCACACCAGCCTCCCTCACAGGAACAGAACCCTACATCCACGGCTGGGCGCAGTGGCTCACGCCTGTAATCCTAGCTTTCTGGGAGGCCGAGGCTGGCGGATTGCTCAAGGTCAGTAGTTCAAAACCAGCCTGAGCAAGAGCGAGACCCCGTCTCTACTATAAATAGAAAGAAATTAATTTGGCCGACCAATATATATAGAAAAAATGAGCCGGGCGTGGTGGCGCATGCCTATAGTCCCAGCTACTCGGGAGGCTGAGGCAGGAGGATCGCTTGAGCCTAGGAGTTTGAGGTTGCTGTGAGCTAGGCTGACGCCACAGCACTCACTCTAGCCTGGGCAACAAAGTGAGACTCTGTCTCAAAAAAAAAAAAAAAAAAAAACCCTACATCCAGGTTCCAGCCAGGCCTTGGCACCACCTGCCTCAGTTTCCTCACTGAGACACGGAAAAGAACCAAAAGCTAACACAGGGAACAGGATGGAATGGGCTGCCACTCCGGCAAAGCGCAGCTTTGGGGACACTTAAGGGCCAGCAACCTCACTGGACCAAGCTCAGCCCCGCTCCAGCCTGCGAGCACCCTGACTAATCACACCAGATTCTATTGGCAATTTCAGTTTTCAGCTAAGAGGTTTTCACCCTCTGCCAAGTAAAGGGTTTGTAAATGAGATGCAAATTAATTCAAAGCACATGCAAATGAGCCACGTTTCCAATCCAGTCTGATTCATTGACAGAAAAGAGCAAATCAGATAAATAGAAAAAGGAAGTCGGCACCACAGTGAGAGACCAAGGCCCCGTCCCCCACTCTGCCTGCCAGCTGCAGGTCCCGCAGGCACGTCCCCTCCCCAGCCTCAGTATCCTCGGAGGAAGCTGCAGGGGTCGCTCGTGAAAACGGGATGTAGTCAGTGCTCCTGATGTGACAGCTCTTGTCACAACTAGGAATTCAGCCAGTATTTATTTGGTGCTGGGAAAACAGGAGTGAGCAAATCACACAAATGCCCTGTCCTCACTTTTTGTCAAGACAGGTGGTCAAATAAGTACATTGGAGAAAAACCAAGACGAAGAGGGATCAGTGGTGTGAGAGTCTGGGATTCGGAATGGGGCGTCAGGGCAAGCCTCACTGAGAGGACACATGCCAGCGGAGCCCTGAAGACGGTGCAGGAGCTCTGGGGGGTGTGGGGAGGACGTTCCCGGTGTGGGGCACAGCCTGGGCAAAGGCCCTGAGCAGGCCCGCGCCTGGTGTGTAAATGAACAGCGAGGAGGCCCGCGTGCTCACAGCGAGAGTGAGGCGGGGAGCCACAGGAGGGTCTGGAGCAGAGGAAGGCCAATGTGACGCGGCTACCACAAGGAATGGACTGAGGGTGGGAAGGTGGCGGTGGGGATGCTGGGAGGGAGGCGACTGCCCGGCCCAGGTGAGCACCACGGGGCCCAGGTTAAGGGGGTGCCCTGCGGTGGTCAGAGTTGGGCGGATTCTGGACCTGGTCTGGAGGGAGAATTCAGAGGGAGAGAGACTTTCTCTGGGGGTGAAGGGGGTGTTAGAGAGAGGGAGGGGTCAAGAATGGCCCCAAGGCTTGACCTGAACCTCTGGAAGGACTGATGTGACCTTAAGGCAGAGGAGGAACACCTGCTGACCTACTGAGTCACTGCTGACTGGCTGTACTGTGCTTCTCCACGTAACAGGTGCACACGCGGCACACAGGTGGACAGACACACAGAGATGCACACATGCTCACACGTGCACACACGCACATACACAGAGGCGGGCGCCGTGCCTGCCCTGTCCCCATTGAATCCTGGGCGTCCAGAACATCACCTGCTCAGAAGAGGTGCAGAAGGAGCAAATGCTGAAGAAATGAATGGCGTGCATGTCAACAATAATTGATGCGACTATTGTCGTTGCTGCTGCTGTTGATCCAATCCTTTTTGAAAACACATCCCTGGCTGAAGGCGGGGATGCAGTGGCTGGGAGGCGCGTCCCAGGAGTCTGCGTTTCTTGGATGACCTGTTGTTTTCCGAGTCCCTGGCACACACTGGCGGCAGGAGGAATGGAGGCGGGTGTTCGCAATGATGCCTCCCTGTCCAGTGTCGTCTCATGCTCTGTCCTCCTGGCCAGGATCTGTCACTTCCCACCTCCCTGGGGCGCTTGCCTTTGTCTTCTGTGCAGCAGCCGGCCCCCTGACTCAAACTCACGTGCCTCTGCGGCCTGCCTGCCCCTTTGTTCTGCCAGAACTCCAACAAGGAAACTTTGTTCTTCCCCTGAGGACGCAGAGAACCTACCAGGCTCCCCTCCTTCCTCCATCCCAGAAAGAGCCACTGTCTCCCCAAGGGACAGTGAGGACAGGATGAGCTCTCATGCTCTGCTGGGCACCTAGCCATGCCTGGCAAGTCCCCATTTTACAGACGAGGACATTGAGGCTCAGAGTAAGGAAGAGCTTGTCCTCCAAGGTTTGGGGGACTGGACAGGGGTCCCAGCAGGCTCTGCTGTAGCCTACAAAGTCCTACATACCCTGCTCCTTTCTGCCCTCTCTGGCTGTATTGGTCCCTCTGCTGCAGCCCCTCCCGCCTCCTTATGCACCAGGCAGCCCAGCCTCATGCAGCGCCTTCTACCTGGTGCACCCTTTCCCAGGTGGTTGTTGCTAATTCCCTTCCCCTCCTGCAAATCTCTCCATCTTAATGATTTCCTTGGAGCATTGATTTCATTCTACAACTTCCTTGTCCCCATACCACCAATCCACCTCCCCTCTTCCCTTTTCCCACAGCATTTTTCACCACTTACCTATTGCACGGTGGTGGGCCGGACCCAATTCACACCAGCTTGTGAGAGCTGACTGTGAAATTTTGGGGAATTTTGTGAGCTGTCAATGGAAGAGAACCCAAACTCTAAAAAATAAAGAGGTTTATTCCGACCTGAATATGTGCAACCATGGTCCGGAAAGCCATGCCCAAGAACCCTTGAGCAAGTGTCCGCACCGTGGCTGGGTTACAGTTTGATTTTATGCAAAACCAAACCGTTTTGTTACGGTTTGGTTTTAAGGGGGACAGGAATTTCACATAAAATCATAAATCAGTACACAGAAGGTGTACATTGGCTTGGCCCAAAAAGGCAGGACATCTAGATGCAGGGGGGCTTATAGATTATAGGTGGGTTTAAGGATTGTTTGATTTGTAATTGGTTAAAGAAATGAAGCTTTGTCTAAAGGCTTGGAATGTTTTAAGTTAAGATGTATGTCAATCAGACAAGCTACAGGACATACATGCAGGCTCAAGCAATCTGTTAAGTAAATTGATGACCGGTAGGTGTGGTTTAACTTTTGCCTTGCCTGGCCTTAGGACTGTTAATGATTTTGTAGCTCCTCACAAGGAATAAAGCCAAAAGCAACAGAGCATAACTAGGTGTGTCTGATCTCCCTTCTCATCTTTAAGGTTTTCTGGGGGGTTCCCCTTGGCCAACATGGGGTCCATTTTTGGGGGGTGGGATTTAAGATTTTAGTTCAGTTTACATGACTGGTGTTATGTTGGTAGTTTGCAATCAGCCATGATCATTTACACCATGGGAATCAGCATGTCCTGCAAATTAGGGCTTTTTCCCTCCGAGCACCCTTGCCTTTTTATTATGCTTAGGGTCTTTATGGTCTCTCTTCCTCCCCTCTCCATTAGAACGCAAGCTCTTTGGGGCAAGGGCCTGCCTGCCTGCCTTGCACTCTGCTGTCTCCCTGGCACCTAGAGCAATGTTTTGCATACAGTAGGCACTCGATAAGTATTTGTTGACCTAATGAATGACCCTCTTCCCCAGCGACTGCTCTCAGACCCTATGACACCTGGGCCCTGATCTCTGGCACCATCCTGCCAGTCCCGGGAACGTCCTCCAAACCCCGAAATAAATAACGTTTTCGCGTCTCCTAAGCCTTAATTAATCCCAGGCCCCGACCCCCGCACGCCCGCATCCTCGCGACAGGACCGGGTCACCGTCTTCCCTTCCCGGCACTTGGACAACGCGGCTCCAGCCTTGGCAACGCGGTCCAGCTGCCTAGCAACCGCGGCTGCCCCGGCGACACGACGCAAGCCGCGGGTGAGGCCGCAGCGCTCTGGATTCCGACCGGGCTCCGGCGACGTCCTCGCGCGTTCGGCCGAGCGTGTCTGCGGAGCCGCTGTCCCCGGGGCGCGGCCGCGGGGCGCCCACTCTGGCGGCGCCGGGCGGGCCCCACACGGAAGCGTGGCCAGAGCCCCGCGAGTGGAACGGGAGGCTGCGGGGCGCGAGGCTCCGTGTGCCCCGCATTGCCTCCCGCGGACCCCGCCGCCCACCCGAGTGCGCTCAGACCCGCGGACCGGTCGCCGCGGCGAGCTCGGCGGACCCGGGGCTAAAGAGACCCCCGCCGGCGCGCGGTGCTTTGTGGGCCACAGACCCCGCCCCACGCCCCGCAGCATGGCGGGAGTTGGAGTCCTGCAGCGGCGCGGGGGCTGCCGGGAGCTGTGGATATGATGGGTGCGCGCGCAGCGGTGGCGCCGAGGAGGACGCTGCTGAGCCGTAGCTTCTGACTTAGTAGGTCGTCACTAGGGGTCGCGGCGCCGCGAGCGACGAGCGCTGCCCGACAGGGTGGCCCCTCTGCGCTCGCTGGCGCTCCCGGGCTCCCCTCGGACGCTGAGCCCAGGTCCGGTTCCCTCCCCGCAGAACCAGCTGCCTTGACCCACCCACCCGGTCCACCTTGGCCGGGCTCCGAAGTGGGCCCTCTTCTCCAGACCCTGGCTCCAGGTCCCACTGTGCCCAAACAAGCTCCTGGGCAGAGACCCGCCCCCGGCGGACTAGTCTGGACGCGGGGTGCCTGCTACCCCGACCCTCGCCCTCCCCCCTTACACTCAGGCCGCCTCCTGTGTCTCATCTCCTCCCCCACCGCCGCCCCGCCGCGGTTTCCCAGCACTTCAGACGTTGCCTCCTGCTCTGGGGGCCGTCCTGCCCCTGCAGGTGCTGAGCAGCACCCCTGGCCTCTACCTACCCCATGCCAGGAGCGCCCCTCCCCCGTGTGACAGCCGCAGGTGTCCCCAGACAAAGCTGGGCAGTGTACCCTTGGGGGCAGAATTGATACCCCTCCCCCCAGTGACACCCATCCTCCTCACTCCTTAAGAACATAGAGGACGGAGGATTAGGGAGAATGTGCCATTGGCATTTCCAGGTCACATCCCTGCGTTAGAGCAGCGGTCCCCAAACCTTTTTGGCACCAGGGACCGGTTTCATGAAAGTTTTTCCTCCAGCAGGGGCTGGGGAGGGAGGCAGAGCTCAGGCAGTGATGTGTGCCCTGGGGAGTGGTTGTAAATACAGATGAAGCTTCCCTAGCTCACCTGCATAGCTCACCTACTGCTGTGCACCGCCCCCCACCCACTTCCCAAGTTTCATGGAAGACAATTTCTCCAGTCCCTAGCTGGCCACAGACTGGTACCGGGAGTTGTGGGACCACAGAGTCAGAGAATGAGAGTCGTCCTTAGAGGCCATCTACCTAGAGGTAAGAAACCTCCCAGCCAAGATGCTGCAGCTACTGCCTAAACCCCTGGTTCAGAGAGCTCCGCACCTAACCAAAGAGAACATCTCCACTTTGTGTTCAAGACAGATCACAGGCCAGGCATGGTGGCTCATGCCTGTAATCCTAGCACTCTGGGAGGCCCAGGCAAGAGGATCGCTTGAGGCCAGGAGTTCGAGAACAGACTGAGCAAGAGCAAGAACCCACCTCTACTAAAAATAAAAGAAAAATAATTAAGTGTGGTTGGTGCACACCTATAGTCCCAGCTACTGGGGAGACTGGAGGATGACTTGAGCCTGGGAGTTTGAGGTTGCTGTGAGCTAAGCTGACACTTGCACTCTAGCTCGGGCCACGGAATGAGACTCTGTCTTGAAAAAAAGACGATCACAAACAGTCCCATGCAGGGTGCTGTTGAGAAGCCAGAGCCACTGTCCACTAGAAATAGAATGTGAGGTCCCACACCTCACATCCAGTGGCTATGTCAAAAAAAGGAAAAGAAGTGGGTGATACAAATTAAATAAAATAAATCTTATGAAATATAAAACAAAGTGTATCTTATTTAATGCAGTATGTCCAAAATATTGTTTCAACATGTAATCAGTATTTAGTAAGGTCATGTACATTCCTCCTTCACATTGTATCCAAGCCCCAGTGTGTGTTTTATACTCATATATATATTGAAATGCTTAATTTTCCCTGGGAATATTTCATCTACACTTAAGATTTCCTAAAGTTCTTGTTGAAAAAGTAGTTTCACAAACCCAAGTTGTTCCACAGGGTTTCCAATAACTGAGCTAAAGGTAGGTTTCTGTTGAAATTTACATTAGAAATTACATTTCCGGGCCGGTGCGGTGGCTCATGCCTTTAATCCTAGCACTCTGGGAGGCCGAGGCAGGCGGATTGCTCGAGGTCAGGAGTTTGAAACCAACCTGAGCAAGAGCAAGACCTGTCTCTACTATAAATAGAAAGAAATTATTGGCCACTAATACATATGAGAAAAAATTAGCCGGGCATGGTGGCGCATGCCTGTAGTCCCAGCTACTCGGGAGGCTGAGGGCAGGAGATCTCTTGAGCCCAGGAGTTACGAGGCTTGCTGTGAGCTGAGGTGGACCGCATGGCACTCACTCTAGCCTGGGCAACAAAGTGCGACCTCTGCTCTCCAAAAAAAAAAAAAAAAAAAAATTACATTTCCAGGGGGCAGTGGCCCCCTGTGGCTCGCAGCTCTGTCCCAGAGAGTGTGCGGAAGGAGAGCCTGCGGCTTCCCCCTGAATCCCCTCTCAGGTACTCGCCCTGCGTGGAAACTTAGCAGGCCTCATCCCAGGAGGCCGCTGCCCACCCCAGGGAGTGGATAACTCTGAGGTTATGGGGGGGTTCCTGCCCCCACCCTTGCTGTGTCATTTCATGCCAGAGGTTTTTTTTGTTGTTGTTGTTGTTTTTTTTTTTGAGACAGAGTCTCACTCTTGTTGCCGGCTAGAGGTGAGGTGCCATGGTGTCAGCCCTAGCTCACAGCACCTCAAACTCCTGGGCCCACGAATCCTCCTGCCTCAGCCTCCCGAGTAGCTGGACTACAGGCACGAGCCACCATGCCCGGCTGATTTTTCATACTTACATATTTTCATATATTAGTTGGCCAATTAATTTCTTTCTATTTTTATGGTAGAGACGGGGTCTCGCTCAGGCTGGTTTTGAACTCCTGACCTTGAGCAATCCGCCGGCCTCGGCCTCCCAGAGTGCTAGGATTACAGGCGTGAGCCACCGCGCCCGGCCTGATGCCAGAGTTTTTAATGAAATGGAATATCACCCCTGAGAAGCCTAGGCCGCTCTGCAGGGACCCTGACTGGCAAGGTACAGAGGTCCCTGTCCCTGGCTGCCCCTCCAGCCCACTGGTTCCTCCTCGTTGGGGCCCGAGTGCTGGGGCACAGCCCGGAAGAAGGGCCAGGCAGCCAGGGCCAGCGCCCAGACCAATCCCACCACAGGTGGGGGGCCTGTGTGGCGGGGCTGAGCCCGCAAGGAGTGGTCTGGGGGGACCCGCGCTGCCCCGTGAGTAGGAGGAGCTGGCTCAGGTCACAGTGGTTGCAGAGATATTGCTTGGGGGCTTAAGGGGCCCGTCCGCCTACCGTGCGACCCAGGCGACGGCGGTGCTAGGGCAGAGCAGGGACTCTCAGGCAGTTGAGGCCAGACGACGGCAGCGCGGACCAGAGTCCAGTCCCGGCAGAGAAGCCTCAGTGGGTCCACAGCCTTGGCACAGAGCCCAGGCCCGTGGGGACCTACAGGGTAGCCTTTCCGAAGCCTGAATTTGTCGCCCCAATTTCCACATCGCGATGCCACCCCCCTATAGAAAACCGAAAGCCCGTGCACGCTGGTCTGCACCCCCGGAACCAGCGGAGACTCCCTGCTCAGACGCAGCGTGTGCCCGAGCTGCGGGGGAGAGGGAGCGGCTGGAGGACGGGAGGGCAGGCGAAACGCGGGCTGGACCGGACCACAGGGCCAGCAGGTCCCAGGGAGGGGGCCCGCAGCCCCACCCATCCCGGCTCCCCGCCGCCACGCGGTCGTCTCCCAACGCTCTTCCTCTCCCCGGCCTGCGCCGCACTCCTCTCGCTCCTGGTCGCCTTGCCATCCGGAGCACAACCGCCTGCCATGCGCCCGGCGCCCACAGGGCATCCCCGAGGTCCCCAAGCAACCCGCACAGGTCCCCCCAGTTCCCTGGCGGCCAGGAGCTGCTCCCGGAGGACAGTCGCGTGTGAGGGTGCGAGCGCCTGGCCACGAGAGGCGGTCTCCCTCCCGAAGGCCTGAGATCAGGGGTCAGGGTCAGGGTCAGGGCTAGTCGTCCAGTGGACCTGGCCACACAGCCCACCAGCTCCTATTCAGGTGCCCCCAGCCAGGATGGTGAGCCCACCTGTGACCTCGTGCACCCCAAGTCCTGCCTGCCCAGCTTCCTCTATCTGGGCAGAGGCGGTACCCCAAAACCAGCTCTCACCAGGATGTGCCTACCTGCTCCCCAGGGTGAGGTGGGGGCCCCAGACCCCTCCTGATCTGAGAGCTCAGGTGGGGATGCCAGCGTCTGGCCACCAACCCTATCAGCGACTCTGCTAGGACATCCCCTGGGGCTAGACATCTGGTTTACAATGGTCTGCTGAGCCTAAGCCCTCTGTCGCCAGCCCAGTGCTGTCCCCAGGGAGGTGGGTCACCCTGAGGACCTACAGCCCGACCAGCCCCATGTCAGGCACAGCGGGTGTGGGCAGCTGGGACAGCCTGCAGCAGGAGCCTGCTCAGACCAAGGACTCCTTCCAGTGAGCTGGGCCTGCCTAACCCTAACCCTAACCCTAACCCTAACCCTCCCAGCCGGGCTCCCACCCCTGCCCCGCCGGCCTGCCCTTGCGCCGCTGCAGTCTTAGATTTCAGCCCGTTCAGCAGAGTCCCTGGTGGGCAGGGACAGAGCAGCCCACCCGCCCACATGGCCTCCTCCCCCTCACTGCCCTCTCCCCAGACCCACCCAGGGCCAGGCCAGCTTGAAGCCTCCACAACTTTGATGGCCCCAAGAAGGCCACATGGCCACCCTCCGTTTTACCAAACCACATTCCCAGAGAAAGAAAGGCAAACAAGCCCACCGGGTTCTTTTTTGTTTTGTTTTGTTTTGTTTTTGAGACACAGTCTCACTCTGTTGCCCAGGCTAGAGTGAGTGCCATGGCGTCAGCCTAGCTCACAGCAACCTTAAACTCCTGGGCTCAAGCAATCCTCCTGCCTCAGCCTCCTGTCTAGGACTCCTAGCTAGGACTACAGGCATGCACCCACCATGCCTGGCTAATTTTTTCTATATATTTTTAGTTGGCCAATTAATTTCTTTCTATTTTTAGTAGAGATGAAGTCTCGCTCTTGCTCAAGCTGGTCTTGAACTCCTGATATTAAGCGATCCTCCCATCGGCCTCCCAGAGTGCTAAGATTATAGGTGTGAGCCACCACGCCCAACTGCTCACTGGGGTTTCATAGGACATTCCATGTGGCTTACTTGGGTCCCCTCCCACCTCCCTCCCCACCTCACCCAGTTGTGATTTCAGGGACCAGCAGAGACAGGAAGGGCCAATGGACTGGAAGGGCAGTGTCCTGGGCTGGTGGGCCCTGCTGTCCCTGGGCCCTCCATTCTGTGCGTTCTGGACGCTCTGTGCAGGGGTAGGGGTGCCTGTCGGGTGTTCTGGGTGGCAGCTCCCCCACATATTTGTCCAGTGACCCCTTCCTCTTGCAGCCGCCATCTCCATCTCCTTCCTCCTCCTCCCTCCTTGAGGCCCACCAGCAGGGCTTGACGGCCGCCCCAGAGCTGAGGTCCTTAGGCCGAATTTGTCAGGCTGCCCCAACAGGCCCTGACAACCAGGCCCTGCCCTCATGGGGCTCCCAGCCCACCCCCAAGAAAGCCTCAAGGACCCAAAACTGACCAGTGGGTGAGAGCGAGGGGGGTGTCGGGCCCTGGGCGTGCTCAGCCCCTGGACACCCGGGCGGCGTCCCTTCCTCCTTTCCCTCTTAGAGCAAAGTAATCATCTGGAACATTCCTCCGCTGTGGATAGGGAGACCAGGATGTGGGGTCTGGAAGGTGGGGGAGCGCTGGGACCCTCCAAGGGAAGGAGGCTTCCTGCCGAGGACTTCCTCTAGGGCGGGACAATGCCGGGAAGGGGCCGATGCCCTGGGGAGGGGGTGCTGTGGGAGGCCGGGGCTCAGTCTCCCAACGAAGATGCCGTGCAGTCCTGCTGGCGCTCAGCCCTGCTGTGCCCCGACGCAGAGGTCCTCCAGGGCCTCCCAGACCTCGGACTTCTGTCCCACCGCTGTCCCTCGCTCTAGCTCTAGCTCTCTCTGTCCCTCTGTCTCTGGCTCTCTCTGTTTCTCTCCGTCTCTCTGTCTTTCTGTCTCTATCTTTTGGTATCTCTATGTTCCTCCACCTTTGTCTCTCTGTCCTGTCTGTCTCTCTGTCTCTATCTCTGTGTCTCTATCCCTCTGTCTCTGTCTGTCTCTGTCTCTATCTGTCTCTGTCTCTCTCTTTTTCTTTCTTCAATACATTTAAGGAAATGTCAAGGACTGTCTCTGTCTCTCTGTCTCTATTTGTCTCTGTCTCTGGGTCTATCTCTCTGTATCTCCCTATCTCTGTCTCTCTGTCTCTCTATATATCTCTCTGTTTCTGTCTATCTTTGTCTCTGTCCCTCTGTCTCTCCCTGTCTCTGTCTTTCTTTGTCTCTCTATCTATCTCTGGGTCTATCATTCTGTCTCTGTCTCTGTCTATTTCTCTGTCCGTCTGTCTCCCCTTATCTCTGTCTCTCTCTCTTTGTCTCTCTATCTCTCTGTCTCTGGGTCTATCTCTCTGTCTCTGTCTATCTCTCTGTCCCTGTCTCTCCCTGTTTCTATCTCTCTCTCTTTGTCTCTCTATCTCTCTGTCTCTGTCTTCCCTTCCCCACCTCTGGCCCTTTGCACCCACCCCTGCCCAGAACCTTCTTCCTGTGTTCAGCCCACCTGTCCCTCCCTCAGGTGGCTGCCCTGGCCCCCCCAACTGCTCAGCACCCCCAGATCCCACATGTTCCGAATGTGCATGCTCTGGTCACCGGCTAGAGTGTTCAGATGACACCATGAGGGACCAGAGGGTGGAGGCAGGCCCGGGAGGGGTGGGGACACAGCCCCCACCTCTGAGCAAGGGCCCTCAGCTCGCTGGCGCCCAGTGCCCCCTCCCCAGTGCCTGGGCAGGCTGTGGGGGCGGAGGAAGCAGGGTCAGAGGCTGGGAAGTGGCCCGTTCGCCAGGCTCGCTGCCCCCCGCCCAGGTTAAGAGCCCAACTTCCCGGGAAGGCCCAGCGCCTCCGGCCTGGGCAGGGCCACACCTTTGAGTGCGCCTTCCTGAGTGGCCTTTCCGGCGCGGGCGCGGGGGAGGCTAGGAACAAGGGAGTCACTGCCGGAAGTTCACACACCTGCACCCTCACCTCACCTGGCCTCGGTTTCCCTCTTCTGCTCTGAGTCCCTCTGGGCCTCAGTTTCCCTCCTCTGGTCCCAGCCCCTCCTCTGGGTCTGTTTCTGCTTCTGGCAGAAACGGGGCTGAGAAGAGAAAGGCTGGGAACGCCTAGAAACCCTGCCCATTGGCTGCGTGTCTTATTCCACAGCCAGGGAAACTGAGGCAAAAACAGGCACACCCTGAGGTGAGCAGAGGCCAAACCAGAACCGCATCCTTCTTTTCTTCCTAGGTGCCTGCTGTGTCGGTGGTCTGGGGTCAGGGTGGGGGCCACTGCAGATAAGGTCACCCTCCCCAAGGAGAGGGACTACAGTGACCTCATTACCTGGAGAAACTACAATGGGGCAGGGGAGGTGGCTGCAGAGGACCCTGCGAGAGTGTTTGGGCAGAGACTGCGCAGGGAGAGGGAACAGCTTGTGCAAAGGCCCTGGGGCCCAGAAAGGGGACTGATTGTGCAAGGCTCCCTGCTCCTGGGAGCTTTGACTTTTCTCCTTTGCCCCCCAGGCAGCCTTGGGGGTGTCAGCATGCTCAGAGGGGTGTTCCCAAGGCCACTCTGGGTGTCTGGTGGCGAACAAGCCCTGAAGGGCTGGGAGGGAGCCAGGGACCAGTGTGAAGGCCCAGAAGAAAGTGTGGGTGGATTCAAGAGTGTTTGGAAGGCGAGGTTCCCAGGACTCGCTAGTGGCAGCTGTGAGTTGGGTCTGGCTGGGGTCCCCTCCAGACCCCTCTTGGGGTCCTCAGACCTGGGTCTCTGTGCAGAGCTGGAAACGAGGCTGCCCCCACCCGGGGCTGCCCCTGCCGCTGTGATGGGGCAGGAGAGATGGGAGTGACTTGTCCGGGGTCCTGGGGGCCTTACAGCTCCACGAGGGGTGAGGAGACCCCACCCCACAGGACACCGCCCAGCAGCTGCAGACGGGGCTGCCCTGGAAAGTGAAGGCCTCAATCTGGTCCGCCACCCTCACCCTGCGTCCTTGTCTTCTGATCTTTCCGTTGCTCCAAGCAAAGGCCTGGAACAGGTCCAGACCCGCGCCCGCTGGTCCTGACCTCAGCCCGGCGGGCCCGCCCCATCTTTGGCCCCCAGCCCCTGCCTCTCTGCCGCCTCCCGGGTCGGGGGTCAGGCCGGGAAAGCCCCCCTGGGAATCCCCCGGGGCGCCACTATTTAAGCCGGGGGCCGCGCACCAGACGAGGGACAGCATGCGACGGGACGGGGCGGTCCTGCTGGGCCTGTGCCTGGGCCTCCTGCGGCCGGGCCGGGGTGAGCGGGGCAGGGCGGGACACGGAGAGAGCTGGGCCGGAGGACGGCCCGGCCAGGGGAGGGGGCTCTAGGAGCCAGCGGGGAAGGAGCAGGGCGGGCTCTGCGCGACAGGGAAACGGGCTCGGCCAGGGGTGGGGGCCGGGGCGGCCGGGGTCTGCGGCGGGGGCGGGGTAGGGAAGGTGGGGCGGGGGTCCGCGGGGCGCGGCTGGGCAGGGTGGGCTCGAGGAGTGACGGCCGCCTCCGCCCAGGCCAGCCCCTGCAGGTGGAGCCCCCGGAGCCGGTGGTGGCTGTGGCCCTGGGCGCGTCGCTGCGGCTCACCTGCCGCCTGGCCTGCGCGGGCTCCGGGACGGCGGCGGTGCAGTGGCGGGGCCTGGACACCAGCCTGGGCGCGGTGCAGTCGGACGCGGGCCGCAGCGTGCTCACCGTGCCCAACGCCTCGCTGTCGGCCGCGGGCCCCCGCGTGTGCGTGGGCTCCTGCGGGGACCACACCTTCCAGAAGACCGTGCGGCTCCTGGTGTACGGTGAGGTGCACTCCTCCCCACCGCCTTACCTCCACTCGAGGCTCCTTTTCTAGGCCGCCTCTTCCTGGGAGCCTTCCAGATTGCCCCACGGCGCCTGCTCCAAGCCTGGGTCGCAGTTCAGTCCCCACCAGGCTCTGCCCAGCCTTCTAGGGCTGGCCCTGGACCCCTCCCCTGCTCCTCACATCTGGGGGAGGGGGGCTGCTGGGGCTACAGGAGCTGTTCCCTCTTCCTGTCCAGCCGCTCAGCCCGGGCCTCCATCCACAGCCTTCCCGGACCAGCTGAGCGTCTCCCCTGCCACCCTGGTGCCTGGCGTGGACCAGGAGGTGGCCTGCACGGCCCACAAGGTCACGCCTGTGGGCCCTGACACCCTCTCCTTCTCCCTGCTCCTGGGGGACCGGGCGCTGGAGGGGGTGCGGACTCTGGGCCCCCCTGAGGTGGAGGAGGAGGAGCCCCAGGAGGACGAGGACCCGCTGTTCCATGTGACCGAGCGCTGGCTGCTGCCCCCACTGGGCACCCCCACCCCGCCTGCCCTGCACTGCCAGGCCACCATGAGGCTTCCCGGCGTGGAGCTCAGCCACAGCCGGCCCATTCCAGGTTAGTCCCCACAGGGAGGTGGCCACAGGCAGGCCCTCCCCCTCGAGAGCCTGGACAGGCACATTGGGACCTGAGCTGGGGGGCGTGGGGAAGACTGGATTCCACCTTTAGTCTGTTCCCGTGGTGGCCAACAGACATTTCCTGAGCGCCCCCCTGTGCCACCCTCCTGGGCCCGCAGTCCTCTATGGCTCCCGCTTCCCTCGGGGCAACCTCAAGTCCTCCCGGAGGCCCCCCAGGCCGAGGCCCTGCACAACCTGCCCTGTCACCTCCCTGTCCTCACCTCCTCCCTCTCTCCCTCCATCACTCCAATCCAACCACACAGGCCTCCTAGCACAGGCACGTCCTGCCTCAGGGCCTTTGCTCCTGCTGTGCCCTCCGCCTGCAGTGCTCTTCCCCTCCCCCTCAGCTCTCCACTTGACTGACTCTCTCAGTGAAGCGCCCCCTGACCTCCCTGTTTCAAGGAGGGAAGTGGGGGGGACTCTCACCCCTTTCACAATTGAGGAAATGGAGGCACACAGATATTAAGAAACCTGCTCAAGATGATGCGGCCAGTAACTAGGGGTCCAGGCCTCCTACCCACCGTGATGCACTTTGATTTACCCAAGTGGTTCAGGAAAGGGGCTTGGAGAGGTTCTGGTCCAACCCCATTTTCCAGATGGGGAGACCGAGGCAGGAGGGGCAGGCCCAGGACAGCAGGGAGAAAAAAAAAGCCGCACTGTTTCCAGTCCTGCACAGCCTGACCTCTCCTGCGCTGCCCGGCACGACCTCCCCACAGCCCCCCAGCCTGACCTCCCCAGAGCCCCTCAACGCGACCTCCCTGGGGCCACCCGATGTGACCTCCCCGGAGCCCCCTGACACGACCTCCCCGGAGCCCCCTGACGTGACCTCCCCGGGGGCACCCCGGAAGCAGGGCTCCATGGGGACTTGCTGCTCTGAGATCCACCAGGCTGTGCCCACAGAGGCAGGAGTGGCCCCCAAAAGCTGTGAGTTCTGCTGCCTGGGGAGGGCTGGGAGGGTCTCCTTGGATTAAAACGTTAGATGAGAAATTGTCCAGCCTCAATTTCCCCATCTGTCCAGTGGGCTTCCCTGACTCTGCGTCCTCTGTAAATTTCAGGGACTGTGTAGATTTCAAAGCACTCTGTAAATTCTAAGCTTTATAGACCAGAACAGCATGTGAGATAGAAACAGAAATAACATGCAATCACATCAGTCATTTCGAATTTAAAAGTAAAAATAAGTGTGACAGTGGATTTTATTGAGCTCAGTATATCGCAAGCACTATCACTTCAATATGCAATCAATATAGAAAAGGGTGAAGAGTCCAGGCGCGGTGGCTCACTCCTGTAATCCTAGCACTCTGGGAGGCTGAGGCAGGAGGATGGCTTGAGGCCAGGAGTTCAAGACCACCCTGAGCAAGAGCGACACCCCGTCTTCACTAAAAAAAAAAACAAAAAAGAAAAGTGTGAAAGAGATATTCTACGTAAGTTTTCTTTCCAAACCAAGTCTTCAAAGTGCAGTGTGATCTGCATGCTGAAAGCACTTTCAATTCAAAGGCTGGTGGTGGCAAGTGGTCACCTTGCTGGACTGCCCTTTTTTTTTTTTTTTTTTTTTTGAGACAGGGTCTCACTCTGTTGCTCTGGCTAGAGTGCTGTGGCATGAACCTAGCTCACAGCAACCTCAAACTCCTGGGCTCAAGCAATCCTCCTGCCTCAGCCTCCCCAGTAGCTGGGACTACAGGCATGTGCCACCATGCCCGGCTAATGTTTTCTGTATACTTTTAGGTGTCCTGCTAATTTGTTTCTATTTTTAGTAGAGACGGGGTCTCGCTCTTGCTCAGGCTGGTCTCCAACTCCTGACCTCGAGCGATCCTCCCGCCTCGGCCTCCCAGAGTGCTAGGATTACAGGCGTGAGCCACCGCACCTGGCCAAGGACTGCCTACATCTAAACCAAAATGTAAACCTGTGTAGCTTTCAGAAGCTCTGCTGTAAAGTCCTTAGTGAAATTTTAGGGAACTCGTAAATCCCGAAGCACTTTGTAGACTCTGCCGGGCTCTGACCGCTGCTCTCTCCTGCGCCTCCCAGCGCCCAGCCCAGGGCCTGCCCAGCTGCCCACGGACTTGTGGATGGGCAGCGTGGTGCTGGCCCTGCTGCTCCTGTCCTTCCTTGCCTATCGCCTGCGGAAACGCTGCCGCTGCCCGGACCCCGGCTGAGGACCACAGCCACCCGCCAGCGTCTCCGAGGCTCCCCCTCCGAGTCAGTCTGGGCCGGATGAAGGGGACCCACGGGACAGAGCAGCCCCTCCTGAGCAGCTGGCCTTTCCCTCCACCCTGTTGAGACCAGAGGATGTTTGGGGACTGACTATGGGTGGCCGGCACGCCCAGGCGCTCCAGCTGGCTGTGGAGCCTGGGGAGTGAGGGAGTTGAGGAGTGGGTCCTGGGGAGTTGGGGAGCCCACTCCCTCAACTGTCCAGGGATGGAGAATAAACGGCATTTGGTCTGACCCCTGGCGACTCCTGTCGTGCTCCAGAGATGTAGGAACCCTATGCACAGCTCTCACCTGCACAAGGCGACTCCCCGGAGGAACAGGGACGTACACGCCCAGCCCCAGCCCCACCTGGCCGGCAGAGCGAGCTCTGCCTGTGGTGGGAAAGCGCCAAGGCCTTGTGCATTTCCCTGTGTCAGGAGCTTAACGGATAACCAGGAGTCCAGCAAGGAAGTGGGAGGAGTATTTGGCGGGGGTAGCCTGGGCAAAGTGGCAGAGGCGGCTCATCGAGGGACTACAGGTCTTCCGGGGTGGCCGGGGCTAGAGGGCGGCTGGCTAGGAGGTCAGTGAGGAAGAGCTGTAGATGTCAGCCCGGACAGGAGGGATGGCGGCCAGAGGTACTGGGGAGCTACGGGAGACTTTAGAGCTGCAGAGAACGCGGCGTTAGAAAGAGCCCTCTGGCGGTCGGGACGGGTAACAGCCCGGGACGGCGCCCCGCGAGCACGTACCGGCTGCCGAGCTGGGTGGCGTCTGCGGGGGGGCCCAGCTCCACGCCCAGCGCATCTGGAGCGCAGATGAACACCTGGGGGCGTGGGCAGCGCTCCGTCCAAACTCGCGCACGCTCAGTCGGCCTTCTCCGGTAACCAGGGAGAGTGGTTGCTAGGAGACTATGCGAACGAAGGCATCGCCCACTACCAACATGGCAAGCAACCCGGCTTCAGGCCAGAAACCGAGGCCTTGCTAGGTAGCCATTTTAAAGTCTGGCAAAATTCACATTCCGGGCCGAAGCCAGGAGGACCAACCAGTAAATATAAAGAAGGAAGAGAAGGCAGAAAGCCACTAGGGGGCTAGGCGAAAACGGTAACGGGCTCCTGTCATTTCCTAGAGTCTCCCAGAGGGAATCAGGGCTGCCCATGCCCTTAACAAAAAGGACCGCCCCAGGGCGCCAGCGTTAGGTGGGATATGGCGGTACTTCCGGTCCCGCTGCCCTCAGCGAAGATGGCGGCAGTGGAGAAGCGGCGGGCCGCGATGGCCCCGGCGGCCAATTTCACCGACAGCGGCCGACCGTTGGTGTCCCGGGCGGCGGCGGCGGCCGAGAGCGAGGAGGACTTCTTGCGGCAGGTCGGCGTGACGGAGATGCTGCGCGCAGCCCTGCTGAAGGTGCTGGAGGCACGGCCTGAGGAGCCGATAGCCTTCCTGGCGCACTACTTCGAGAACATGGGCCTGCGTTCGCCCGCGAACGGCGGTGCCGGGGAGCCCCCGGGCCAGCTCCTGCTGCAGCAGCAGCGCCTGGGCCGCGCGCTCTGGCACCTGCGCCTGGCCCACCACTCCCAGAGGTGCGCGTCGGGCCGGCCGCCGGTTTCGGGGGGTGGGGTGGACTTCAACTCCCGGCGTGCCCTGCGCGGCTGCCCTCCAGCAGCGGCTGCGCGGCGCCTGCTGGGAGTTGTAGTCCGTGGCGCCCTGGTGGGGCCGCGGGAGCTCTGGGTCCCTGCTGCGTCGGGCGAGGGCGGTTCCCGCCCGCTCGGCCTTTTGTGATGCCTTTGGCCGGTGCTAGGTCCCCCCCTCCGCCTCCACCCCACCCTCGGCATCCCATGATTTTGAAAATCGTGGAGCGCGGGAGGAGCGAGACCTATGAGCCGGGGCGCGCGTTGGGCCTAGACGAGGATGTTCACGGGGCTGTGAGCGGGACGGTGCCAGCTGCCTGTGTCCCTGGCAGGGACAGCTCTGAGCGCGGAAGGTGGCTGAGGAGCAGGTGGGGGTGAGGAGCAGGTGGGGATGACCGTCCGTGGCAAGGTGGGTTGGGCAGAAGCCGTCTGGCCTGCAGTGCCAACCCAAGGTGGTGCCAGGGTGTGGGCTAGTGTCGTGGAGAGGGGGGCGCTCCCCAGCAGCAGAGCCGGAGGCAGGCATTTGTGTCGGGTGATTTTTACAAGGGGGTGCACCCAGGAGAACCTGCAAGGGAGGAGCAGGGCAGGGAAGGGTGCCAAGCAAAGTGAGGAGCTGAGGCCATACAGAGGCTGTAAACACCAGGGCAGCCCTCCCCTGATAGTCCCAGAGAAGCTGAGGGACAGAGGGAGAAAGGGCAGGAGGGCAGGACATCAGAGCAGAACAGGAACGTCTCCACCACAGGGGGTGGCGGGATGAAGGTCCACCCCGAGATGGGGACCTGGCGAGGAGCAAGCTGGCTGGCAGGAGGTGGAAGCCCAGTGGCTCTGAAGGCCCAGGATGAGCTGGGCCTGGGCTGGGAGAGGAGTGTGCAAGGACAGGCCCAGAGGGTCAGTGCAGCGGATTATGGAGACGGGAGGCCACTGGTTTGGGGAAGTCACCAGAGTGGCAGGGGGCTGGGAGGAACCTCACAGCAGGGGGGTGGATGGAAGGGTGAGCAACTGAGACGGGGACTGGGACAGGATATTGTAAACTGGAAGGCATCACGAAGGCTTTAGGAGGGAAGAGCCAGGCTCAGGACTACACTCTGAGGGGCCTCTACCTTGGAGGCCACAAAAAAGGACGGGAAGGCAAGACCAGAGAGAAAGGGAGGAACCCGGAGAAAGCAGTGTCCTGGGACAGCCAGAAGAGACTCTCCCAAGGAGTCAAAGGGGTCAGTGGCAGGGCCGCCATGTATGGTTGTTCAGGTCAAGCACTGCACAAGCCACTCACCCCACGGACATCGCAGATGAGGATGTTTATATTAATTTCCCAGGGCTGCTGTAACAAATTACGACAAACTTAGTGGCTTAAAACAACAGAAACTTATTCTCACCGTTCCAGAGGCTAGGAGTCAGGAGGGCCATGTTCCCTCTGGAGGCTCCAGGGGAGGATCCTTCCCGCCTCTTTCAGCTTCAGGGAGCTGCCGGCAATCTGGCTGTGGCTGCATTGCTCCCATCTGCCTCCGTCATCCCATGGCCTGCTCTGTGTCCCTCTGTCCTCTCTTACAAAGACACCAGCCACTGGATCAGGGCTCACCCTACTCCAGCGTGACTTTGTCTTAACTAATGACATCTGCAAAGACCCTGTTTCCACATAAAGTCCCACTCTGAGGTTCTGGATGGACATGAATGTGGAAGAACTCGTCAAGCCGGGACAGGGCGTTGGAGCTGTTGGCTGGAGGCAGCTCACAGCAGCCGGGACGTCGGAGGAGTAGCCCGGCTAGCAGCTGTGCTGGTGGCAGACGCCACGGCGCCCCTGGGCTCACAGGTCTCCCCAGAGATGCAGCCAGTAGGGAGCTCAGAAGACGGGCTCACAGGCCTCAGCATCTGGTCTTGTGCTCACAGGAGCCAGGCCAGCTCCCGTCCTCCCAGCGGGCACCTAGGAGCCCCTCACCAGCACCTGCGAGATCCGGGCAGCTCCACCCCCGCTCTGCTGGGCGTGTGCCCCCTGGTGCTGAGGGGTTGACTGGGGATGCTCTTGGTCATCAGATTTAGGGAGAAGTCGCCCCAGATCCTCTCTGCTCCCATCTCTGAGAAATGGAAAGTAATGGCCACACCCCCGCCAGGCCATTACTAAGGCCCCCCCGGAGCACAGAAACAGATCTAAAGTGACATGCCGAAGGCCACACAGCACCAAGAACACAGCTGGAGTCAGGCCCAGGGAGTGCAGCCCCCGAGGCCTCCTCCTGAGCCAGCAAGCCGCTCGTGTGGTAGCAAGAGCTGCGCCGTCCTCGTGCACAGAGCACCCGCAGGCCCAGGCCAGGGCCTCAGCCTCAGCCGCTGTCTGCCGCGGCGCCCTGCCCCCACTCCATGCCAGCCCAGTGGTGACAACCACAGGTATCCCCAGACATAGCCCAGGGTGCCCTGGGGGCAATATCGTTACCCCTTGAGAACTAGTCAGGTTAAAGCAAGTCTCCCATGTCTCTTTCTGGAGACTTTCCATAAACATAATTTGCTTTTCCTTAACAAATGCTCACGTGCTTCACAGACTGCTCTGTGTAGGCGCTGACCCAGACGGAGCCCTCCCGAGTGCAGACGGGACCCAGGCCCAGAGCCCAGGGTCACAGGCCCAGGCTTGTCTGAGCCCAGAGCTCTCTGCCTTCACCCCAGCACTTGGCAGGGAGCCCCCAGGAGCAGAGACAAGCAGCTTAGAAGTCCGGTCTCCCACAGTCCCTCCTCGAGGCTCTGACCTCACAGGCTGTCATCAGCCGACGGGGCTGGGAACAAATGACAAACAGCAGCTGGCAGCTGGCTGGCCGAGGCCCTGGCTACAGCGTGTGGTGGGCGCAGGCGCCATTGGGAGCACCTGGCACAAAGCCCGATCTTCTGTCCTCAGGAGAACCCTGAGGTGCAGAGATCAGGACCCTCACCCCTGGGTGCGAAAGCCAGGCTCAGAGAGGCAGCAACTTGCCAGGAGCTTAGCCAGGAGGCGGGAGAGGGACAGAGTGACAGAGGGACGCCCGGAGGCAGGCTGCGCTGGGTGCAGAGCCCTGCACACCCAGGTGCCACCTGCAGAGCGAGTGAGTCCGTGCCGGGGCCTGGCAGGTAGGCCCAGGCGCAGAGTTGGGCGAATCTTGGCCACACAAGAATCAGGAGGGGCCGCATCACACCATAGTGACAGCCCCAAAGCCTGGTGGCTGTGACACAGCCACCGAGTTTCGCTTCTTGCTCGCACCACAGGGTCTCGCTGGGAGGCTCCGCTCTTGCAGTCCGACTTGGGCTTGCACAGCTGAGGCAACCAGGACTAACTCGACGGCTCTAGAAATCCCCACTGGATGTGGACCACACTTCGCTTTGCGCTCACGTTTCCATGGCCAAAGCAAGTCCCGTGGCTCAGCCCAACTTCGAGGGGTGGAGAAGTTTGTGGGAAGACTTGCTGGGCAGTGCCGTGGTCCCAGCCTTCAAGATGCCCCCGGCAGCCTCGCCTCCTGGGGTTCAGTCCCCGCCACATTGAAGAGAGCCACCTGCCACAGCAGGACGTCATGGGCCTCGCTTGGGCAGCCAGCCGCATGCCCTAAGGAAGCTCTCTCCGCCGGAGGGGACACCCATGGGTGAGGGACTGAAGCTCCTGCCGAGAGAGGCCCCAGCTCAGCGTGTGTGTGAGGGAGCCACCCCAGAAGTTGGACTTCAGGGGACTGCCGTGGCAACAGCGGCAGTGGGAGCGAGCGCCCGGTGCGTGGGCCCTTTAATACTCAGGAAGAAAAAGGGGCCTGTAGCCAGCCGGCCCTGGAACTGAGTCCTGGCTGGGAGGGAGACGCCCAGGCCCCTTCCCTGGGCTGCAGCAGTGGTGACCCGAGTGGCAGTGTCCACCTAGCACCCACCTGGGTGGCCCATGGAAGGTGGCATCTTGGTGTGAACCTGCCCTCCTCATCGGAGCTGGGTGCCTGGAAGGACGAGTGCCTGCCCGGGGCTTGCCCACCTCCTCTCTGAGACCTGTGGCTAGACCACAGCCTGCCCCAAGCCTCAGTTTCCCTGTATGTCATAGTGGAAATGACAGCAGGGCACTAGCCCCAGGCACTATGCGGTTAATGCACCGAGGGGAGCGAAGTGGCCCACGCTAACCACTGTGCTCCCTGCCAGCCCCGTGCGCTCTGTGGGGCGCCCACGGCACAGGCGTGGCACACAGCAGCGCCTCAGGGAGGCTCAGGCGCCCACCTCGGAGCTGGCAGCAGGGCTGACGGGCTTCTCAGTGAAGGGCAGAGAGTAAACGTTTTCAGCTCGGCAGGCAATCTCCCTCCTGATCATGCGACTCTGCCCTCCTAGTGCGAAGTAGCCACAGGCGACATGTCAGTGGGCTGGCGTGGTTGTTCCAATAAAACTTTATTTACAAAAGCAGGCAGCTGCAGGGTCTGACCCCCGGACTCCTGCCTGTGGGATGAGGGGAGAGAAACTGCCCTGCAATAAATGCTGAGCAGAGCAGACTCATGGTGGCGGATTCCCGGTTGTTGATTGGGCCCCCCTGTGTGCCTGCCAGGCAGGGTTCTAGGCAGGAGGGCTGTGACAGTGACTGACAGATTAGTGCCCTGGCCTGGTGGGGCAGACAACGCTACGGTTCAGTAAGACAGACGGTGAGAGCTGCTAGGAAGAAAAAGGCTGAAGGCTGGGCACGGTGGCTCACGCCTGTGATCCCAGCACTTTAGGAGGCTGAGGCAGGAGGATCACTTGAGGTCAGGAGTTGGAGGCTGCAGTGAGCTACGATACCACTGCCCTCCAGCCTGGGTGACAGAGACAGACCCTGTCTCAAGAAAAGAGAAAAGAAAAGGAGGGAGGGGTCTGGGGAAGGCAGGGCAAGGGCCTGGAGCGGCGGGCGGGCGGGCAGGCGAGGGGCGCTGGCTCTGCGGCTGCCCAACACCCCCTCCCCCGCAGGACGGCCTTCAACAACAACGTCGGCGTGGCCTACGAGTGCCTGAGCGCCAGCGGGCGCAAGAAGAAGCCGGGGCTGGACGGGCGCACGTACGGCGAGCTGCTCAAGCGCATCTGCAGGGACGGCGAGGCCCCGGAGGAGGTCGTGGCGCCCCTGCTGCGCAAGATCCAGTGCCGAGACCACGAGGCCGTGCCGCTGGACGTGTTCCGCGCGGGCATGCTCACCTGCTTCGTGCTGCTGGAGTTCGTGGCGCGGGCCGGCGCCCTCTTCCAGCTGCTGGAGGGCCCGGCTGTGGCGGTGGCCGACCGCCGCGTGGGCCAGGCTGTGCTGGACACCCTGGAGGGCGCCCTGCAGGCCAGCGACAACAGCGCGGCCCCCGCCTGCTACCTGGAGGCCGGCTCTCGCCTGGGCCCGGACAGCCTGGCGCTGGCCATGGACCGCGCCATGTCGGGGCGGCGGCCCAGCACCCCCATGACCCGGGAGGAGTTCCTGGAGAAGGCGGCTGCCCTCTTCATCGCCAAGGTGAAGCCGGTGGGCTGAGCCCTGCCGGGCCCCGCCCGGCCCCTCCTGGGCAGAACACGGATTCGGGGCCAGGGCTGGGCGTCCCTGCACCCGGGTCAGGACCTGGGGTTGAGGCAGGGCCCCTGCCCAGCAGTAATAAAATCCCCTGCGGAGGCCAACCCGGCAACCCTGCGTGTGTGCACGCGCCCCACCTCCCAGCCCCGTCCTTGATGGCAGAGGACTCCCCGCTGCAGCTGGAGGAGGCGCCAGGTGCCCCGGCAAGGCCTGAGCGGCACCACCAGCTCCTCTGCGATACAGGACCCCAGCCCTGCCCTTCCCAAGGGTCCTTCCTGGGCCTCAGTTTCCCCAGCTGTCAAACAAGTCAGCTTGGCAGATGACAGCAACATTGATGACAGTAACAGCTCAGACGCCTTCAGGCAACCACAGCATCTTGCGCGACTGGCACCCCTGCCCATGGGGAAGGTGAATTGCTGCCGCACTTGGCAGGCGGCTGGAGGGTCACACCTCAGCAGTGGCCGGGCAGGGATCTGAGCCGGGGCTCCAGAACGCACACCCACACTGCCTGCCACCGGGCCCACTGGGAACCCCATGACCCACGTTAGCCCCCTGAGCCTGCACCAGGCACCCCGGGCGCACCCCCACCCAGCGGGACCACTGGGACGGGGAATTCTGTAAGAAGCAGGAAGGGCCAGTCCGGAATGGGATTCCCAGCTCGGAACGGTTCCTGGCAGATGACGTCACTCTTAGCCTCAGTCTGCCCCTCTGTTGCGTGGGCTCGTGACGGCCCCTACTCTGACCGAGGGAGACCCCAGGGAACACAGCCTTTACGGTTTCCACAAGCTGCACAACGGCAGGGACCCCCCACATCCTTGTTCCCAGCACCGAGAAAAAGGGAGGCACAGGGTAGGCGGTCGATGAACCAGTGCGCGACTGGACCCTGGCGGGTCCCGTTTCCCAGAACCAGCCATGATGCCATTTCCAATCCTGCTCTTCCACGGTCCAGAGGTAGAACCTTTGTTCCGTCCTCTTGGCCGCCAGTGGCTTCGCCTGGCTTTGCCTCGCGACGCGTGTGCCGAGGCAGCCCCTGCACGGGCACGTGTGCCAACGGCAGCTGCCGCTTTGCAGATGAGTGAGCTAAATAAACGTTATCGCACCCTGCTAAGTTTTGGAGTGCTTTGTCACACAGCACTAGGTGAGTATGAGCAAAGAGCGCCCACTCCCTAAGTGTCACCTGTTAGGACTGTGACAGGCCGAGCACCTGCACAGGGTGAAGAGCTGGAAACAGTGTAGCCGAGGTCCCTGCCCTCCTGGAGCCACAGCCAGGCCGACTGCAGTCAGTTCTCAGTGCTGAACTGTTCTAGACACCAGGACAGGGACGCAGGGCCTAGAAGGTTCCATCCACCACTGCCTAGGGCAGACGCAGCCAACAGTGGCTGGCGAGGGGATACACGAGCCGGCCCTGCCCTGCACAGCTTCCCTGCACCACCTGTGGCACCTGGCCTCAGGGCCAGAAGTCCCCATTTGTGCTGATCCTGGCTTGGCCCTTGTTAGCACAGCCGCAGGAAGGTGGCCTGATCTCCCCAGCCCGGCCTGCCAGCGTCGAGCCCTGCAACCTGCTCTGGCAATACCACCATCCCAGCCCCCCAGATCCCCTAGGGGGCTCCTCTCTCTTCCCAGCTGGTGGAACGTGCCCTCCAGGCTCTGACCGGGGCCCCTCCTCCCCTCAGTGCTCACCAGCCTGTGGCCAAGCACGTCTGGGGCACCAAGCCCCCCACCTCCTGCTGTCTCCATGGGGAACCCCAGGCCCTCCCCGACCCTGGGGCTCCTATGGAGTTTCTGGTCTCCGTGGAAACCCCTGCGCCCACCCCGGCCCTGCCCCGGCCCTGGAGGGTCCAGCCAGCACCCCAGTCCTCCTGGACCACCACCACCACCTTTCGGCCAGTCGGACATTCCAGGCCCCTGGCCTCGGTGGTGGGGACTCCAGCCACCCTGGGACTCTTTCTGGGAACACAGTGCTGGGGCTGAGCTGGGAAGACCTGGGCCCTCTTGTCCCCGAGAGGCCTGGGAGCCAGTTGGCTCCCGGGAAAATGGAGCTGAGAGACTCCCCCAGCCTGTTGGTGCCTCTGTCCCCCACGTGGCGCCCAGCCACGCCAGCCTCCAGCCTGTCCAGCTCGCCCCCGCCGCGTGGCCTTTGCACACGCCGTTCCCGCTCCTGTGACACTTCCCGCAGGGGCCACTTCCGCACTCCATCAGGTCTCTGCCCAGATGTCACCTCCTGAGAGTTGTCTTCCTGCGCCCTCCCTGCTGCCGACCCCTGGAATACTTCACTGTCCTTCACAGAAATTACTTGTTTCCGGCCTGTGTTCTGAGGGCAGGGACTCGCTTGTTTACTGTCTGCTGCACGGCCAGACCTAGATTTGCACGTGGAAGGCCAGGGAGGGAGGGAGGGAGGGAGGAATTTGTCGGAGGCATCTGAAGCTCCTTGAGACAAGTGTGTTCAGTCCCTATCGCTGCTGTAACTAATGCCACAAACTTAATGACTTCAAACAACACAAACTTATTATCTCACAGTCTGGAGGGCAGAAATCTTGGAATCGGCGAGGCAGGGCCGGTCCCTCCTGGGGCTCCAGGGGAGAACCGCCTCCCGCCTTTCCCAGCGTCCAGTGGCCACCCTGTCCCTCAGCTCGGGGCCCTTCCTCCCCCTCCAGAGCCAGCAGCGAGCGTCTTCCAGTCTCTGCCCCGACCCCCCTGCCCCTCGTTGGAGGACCCTGTGCTGACACTGCCCCCCCACTCTCAACCCCGCTGTCATCCAGGATGATCTCCCATCTCAAGGTCCTTAATCCCACTGGCAAAGCTCTTTTTTTTTTTTGAAACAGAGTCTCACTTTGTTGCCCAGGCTAGAGTGAGTGCCATGGCGTCAGCCTAGCTCACAGCAACCTCAAACTCCTGGGCTCAAGCGATCCTCCTGCCTCAGCCTCCCGAGTAGCTGGGACTACAGGCATGTGCCACCATGCCCGGCTCATTTTTTCTATATATATTATTTGGCTAATTAATTTCTTTCTATTTTTATAGTAGAGACAGGGTCTCGCTGTTGCTCAGGCTGGTTTCAAACTCCTGACCTCGAGCAATCTGCCCGCCTCGGCCTCCCAGAGTGCTAGGATTACAGGCATGAGCCATCATACCCGGCCTTGGTTTCGAACTTCTGAATTCAAGCAATCCACCTGCCTCAGCCTCCCAGAGTGCTAGGATTACAGGCGTGAGCCTTTTCTTTTTTTTCAGGCAGAGTCTCACTCTGTCACCCAGGCTGGAGTGCAGTGGTGTCATCATAGCTGACTGCAGCCTTCAACTCTTGGCCTCAAGGGATCCTCTGTCCTTGGCCTCCCAGAGTGCTGGGATTAAGGCGTGAACTGCTGCCTCAGCCATACACTTTGTCTTCTGACTCTGTCACATGTATTCCCTTTGCCTCCTGAGGCCATATCTTTCTTCCCAACAGGGCATGATAGCAATAAGATGCTGTCCTATAAGTCTCTATGGCCACTTGGGCTTCACAGTATGCTTTTCACACACTATCTCATCTAATCCATTTTGTAGATAAAGAAAATGAAATTTCGTTTAGCATTTGAGGAATATGTCCACGATCATAGTGGAAACTAGATTTGAGTTTAGGGCTCTTCTGTGGCATGCGATGGTAGGCCCAGCTCAAGCTGGCTTAATAAAAAAAATAAGGAATTTATAGACTTGCATCATTGGAACCTGCAGTGGAGCTCAGGTGTGGCTGGATCCAGGAGCACAAACCAAATTATCAACATTTTCTCTCCTTGGTTGGCTAAGCTCTCCTGAGTGCTGACTTTAAGGCCTTGTGGTGAAAAGATGGCACCATCACTCCAGCCCTGGTTCTCCTTGCTCTGCCGCCCCAGCACTGTGACCCCAGAAAATGTCCCAGCGCTGTATCTAAGATGGTCAGAAGTTTCACGCCTGTTCCTTAACCAACCACTGCAGCCCAGGGTAAACAGGGCCAGGAACACTCCAATTAGATGACCCCCTTCATTCAGCCAGGACTTGGGATCTGTCTAGTTCAAACCTTTCAGACTGAGTAGGGAGCCCCCAAAACAAAATTGAGTGCTATGGCCAGAAAACAGGCAAGCAAAACCGCAGCTGTCCACCACTCCAGGGTGACCTGAAGCCAGAGAAACAGGCTTTCCTGGAGGCTGGGGCCCAAGCAGGATCAGTTGCAGGGGCTAGTAAACCCAGTACTTCCGTCCTTCCGTCTTCCCACCCAGTACCTCCCGGGACGTGAGGTATACATAGGAAAGGAGATCTTGGGAAACCTCAGATGAAGAATCATGATTAATTCTAATTACTATTTGTTGACAGCTGCTGCATGCCAGCTCTATGACATTGGCACTACTGACAGCCATGTGGTACGGAAGAGAATGAGGGTCAAAGGGCACCCAGAACACCTGGCAAAGGGTGCCAGAGGGCCCCACAGATCTAGGCACCCTCGTTTCACTCTGGGCCTGAGAGAGGAAGCCCAGAGGTTCCTTACGAATGCACAAGCCAAGGCCCAGGAGGTCACAGGAAGTGGTGGCTCTTTCTCAGACCCCTTGGTCCCTCCCCACCCTCGATGTTCTATTTTCCTTTCCCTTGACAGGTTGACTTGCCTATCCCCAGCTGGAACACCAGACTCCAGAGGCCAGGGGCCAGGTGTTGGGCGTCTGTGGGAGACAGTCACCCTGGGCCCAGCCCAAGGGGTTGGTGCAGCTGTGGGCAGCCCAGGACCAGAGCCAGCAAGGCCGCAGGCATGGGGGCCACGCCTGGCCCCGCTGGGGACACTCTGCTGAGCTGTCCTCACCACATCCTGCTCTCCTGACCCAGTGTCCAGGCGAGGGCCATGTGGGTGTCTGGGCCAGGACTCAGCCGGGTCAGAGCCCAGATAGGGTCATGGCGGAGCCCAGGTTAAGGGCTCAGCAGGGGTCAAGACTCAGGTGGGGGCCGGGCAGTGGCTCACACCTGTAATCCTAACACTGGGAGGCCGAGATGGGTGGATCGTTTGAGCTCAGGAGTTTGAGACCAGCCTGAGCAAGAGACCCTGTCTCTACTAAAAATAGAAAATTAGCTGGACAACTAAAAAATATATATAGAGAGAAAAAAAATAGCCTGGCATGGTGGTGCATGCCTGTAGTCCCAGCTACTTGGTAGGCTGAGGCAATAGGATTGCTTGAGCCCAGGAGTTTGAGGTTGCTGTGAGCTAGGCTGATGCCACGGCACTCACTCTAGCCTGGGCAACAGAGTGAGACTCTGTCTCAAAAAAAAAAAAAAAAATCAGGTGGAATAAGAGTTCAGCCTGAAGTGAGGACACAGCCAGCCAGGTTCAAGACTCAACTTGGGGTGGGGGCTCAGGGTGGGAGTTCTGGCTCTGTCAGGATGGGGGCCTGAACCGGGTCAAGTGCTGAATCGAGACCCATTTCCTTCCCAATTTCTCTGGAAGGAGCATCTTGCCAACCTCTCACCACTCAGGTGTCCAGCTGGGCACGCCTGCCCCCTGGGGTCCTTCACTGACCCCGCCCGGACCTTGGCCCAGTTCTCAGCCCGGCTTCACGGGAAACTGAGGCAGCGCCCAGTCTTCGGACCGGGCGAGCTCTCGGCCTCGTCCCGCTCTGCTTTGCCAGGGAGACCCACGAGGACAACTCGCCCGCCCACTCCTGTCCCCGCGGGGAAGCTGAGTGGGGGACCAGCCGTCAGCAGCCACCTAGCCGAGACCCCGCCCCGCCCGTGGACCCCGCCCCGGGTCCCTCCCCAATTCCCCGCCCGCGGCCCCGCCCCCGCGGGACGTCACAAAAAGGACCCCAAAAGCCTGGCGGCCGGGCCAAGCGGCGCAGCCCAGCCCTGCCCGTCCCCGCGCACGGGCGTCCGGAGCAGTCGGAGCGCGGCGGCGGCGGCAGCTCGGAAGCGCCAGGCGCCCGCGGCCCCTCCCTCCCCGCGCGCGAGCGGGCGGGGCGGCGGCGGCGGCACTTCCGGCGTGCCCCGCGGGCGGGCGCGCAGGCGCAGTGGGCCCGGCCGCGGCGCGCAGGCGCAGCGCGGGCGGGGCGCGCGGCCGGGCCGAGCGCAGCGCCGGCGGGGCGGCGCCAGAGCGAGTGGAGCGCTCGGGCCCCGGGCGGCGGC